AATTACAGATGCTTTTATAACTCAAATACCTAAAAAAAAAAACGGCATTCTGTGAGCGGAGTGATCTCCACAGATCTGACCTGTAACTTGTCTTGGTTTGGTCTCCATGAAGATAGAAAGGTTTAATGCCATACTGTGAAACATTCCAGACAAAGCAATAACCTTCCTCTTCACTAACCATATTGTATTGACCTGTCAGGATCTATGGTCAAGCTTTACGCATCCATAGTTATTATCATGTAAACCATTGTAACTTAACCATGTTATATCCAAAGTCTGGAGTGTATTTTGCTGAATTCATGCTTGTTTCATTAATCCTTAAATCTAAAATGGTCATGAGCACTCAGAAATGTTACCTTCACGTTTTGCATCAAGGAACAACATATCTCTGGAGAAAAGCATTTGGCACACACTCCACCAGAAAAGTCACACAACACACGCTTAAAAATTCATAATGAAAAAAACATGCTTTAAATTGAGTTCATTTCTTGGAATAAAGGTCCATACAACTATTGTATACTGCTGTGTCTGATGAATCCATTGTCTTTACTTTTACAGAACTCCACCCGATTACCAGGAAAACAGGCTTACATTTATACTTACTTCTGTAACATCCTTTCTTTATAATCTGTGGTCATTTACTGGTCAGTGGGCTACATGTAATACTAATGTGGATTTGAATGGAAGCATATGGCTACTTAATGGTGCCATTACGGACTCTGTAAAGCATGACTTGTGAACTCTATGCGAGATATACAGTCATTGTATGGAGCAGTCTCTAATTGCTGGAGGTCTGATGCCATAGTCCCAGTGCGTAGACAGACAGGCCCAGCAGAGGAGAGCAGAGCAGAGGAGAGCAGAGCAGAGGAGAGCAGCGGTGCATTACAAGATGAGCAGAGGATTATGGGAGACTGGGTTAATCTGAAGGACGCCATCTGTCACCTGGACAGCACAAAGTCACAGGGCAGGTGTAGTGACAGGGACTGCTCACATCCTGCCCGAGGACCACATGCTAAGATTGTGTGGTTTGATTTCTTTTTATACAGTTTTATGCACTTTTTGTTTTTCATGGTGTTGATTCTTTTATTAACAGAGATGGCCCGCTTTTCACTTTTTTACTGGCATGTATTTGAAAAACATTATGTAGGGGCCAACTCTGGGTTTTAGGCAGTGTTGGGAGTAACGAGTTATAAAAGTAACGGATTACTGTAATGCATTGCTTTTTGCTCTAATGCAGTAATGTTCGGCATTACAGGGAAAAAAAAAATGTATATTTTACTCAGTACAAATGTCAGTAACGTGCGTTAGAATGTTTTTTTAACCTGGATTGAAGTGGTGGGTTTTTCTTCATACAAATTCTCTAAAATCACCGCAATACCCTGTTCCACAGGCTTGGGGTTTTCTCAGGGGCGGTCCTAGATTCCAAGTTCTAGTCCAAGATTAGTCCTGGTTTGGTCCTGGTTCAGTCCTTGTTTAGACCTGGTTTAGACCTGGGTCAGATCTGGTTTAGACCTGGTTTAGTTCTGGTTTAGACCTGGTTTAGACCTGGTTTAGTCCTGGTTCAGTCCTGGTTCAGTCCTGGTTTAGACCTGGTTTAGACCTGGTTTAGTCCTGGTTCAGTCCTGGTTCAGTTCTGGTTCAATCCTGGTTCAGTCCTGGTTCAACTCTGTTTTAGTCCTGGTTTAGTCCTGGTTCAGCTCTGGTTTAGTCCTGGTTCAGTCCAAAAGTTCAGCATCTTCACAGTTATTTTGGTGAGAGTAACTAATGCAATAATAATGTAATGCCTTACATTTTAATTGCAGTAATATTGCAATGTAATGAATTACTTTGAAATAACAGTAGTAAGTAATAAATAACGCATTACAGTTTTAAAGTAACTTGCCCAACAGTGGTTTTAGGAACCCAGATTTGAACCCTCTTTCTATGAATTTATTTTAAAGGGGGGCACAAGTGAGGCTTCTTACCCCGGGCCTTCAAATTTCTGTCGACGGGCCTGTCAGTAACTACGTTCTATATAACAATCTGGAAATTTGAGTGCGACTGAGAAAAGGAGGAACATCCAGACAAATAAAAACAGTGAATCTGATTGGCTGAAGCTTCACAACAACACAACAAGAGTAAAAAAAAAAATCTAACTTTTCTTCAATCCAGTTTCCAGCTCACAAATGCACAAAGCTCTATCCTCTGCATGTTTTTAAAAATGTTCCAAAAGGCTGAAGTGCATTGGTTGGCGTCACCATGTTGCTTTTGGTTCTAAATCACAGTGCTGTCCTGTGATTGGTCTGGAGCACTGGTGACCCGGGCAGTCGCACCAGTGGGAGCTGGATTCTCACGACAATTCATGCGAGTGTGCAGGGTTAGCTCAGGCCAAGAATGAACTTTACATGAGTGGATTTGGACTTGTGATGCGCAGAGACTTATGGATGTCGTCTTAAATGCCTCATACAGATTCCTTACAGAAAGCATTTGTACTGATAATATTGTGTGTAGCTTGAGTACACTATGAGCAGATTAAAGTGGCGCTCTGGCCTGTGTGAGAATGGGCTGTAAAAGGTTTATTGTGAAGTGTAAATCCCTGAGCATGACATGGTTATAATGTGTTCACATGTTCAACCGCAGACTTAATACAACTGTGTTTGTGCACGAACCACAGGGACTCGGAGCTCATGTACAGGCTCTGTGTGGGATTAGTTTAATATTATTTTATCTTACATACATATTTTGATTTTCACATTTGTGCGGTAGATACTTTGGAATTACCAATCACATTCATTTCAAATTATAAATCCTATAATGATATTATTTTGAAGTAACAATACTATTTTGAAAAGTACATTGAAAGTACAACAAGTGCAATCAGAGAGCAGTTCATCACCACAGAAGCAGATTATGAGGAGCCCAGCCCATATTACATGATCATTATATCCACAATGCAATGTGTGTAGCTGTGCCCATGAACATTTGTGTGATATTAGTCACACATGAGAATGTCTCTCTTTACTAGTGTGTAACGAAAATGTCATTTTTCATGAGTTCCATATCTGTTAGATCTGTGACTGTAGATCAGTGTGTTGTGTATCACCAGAAAAACAAGAAATGGAAATTACTTTTGTTCCAATTAGAATTTTAATGGCATACACTAAAAGAGAAAGGAACTGTTATAATATCTCGAAAACTATGAATATTTTACTGTACAAATGCATAGAATTATAAATAGATAATCATTTTTCTGAGGTTTTGAGACCACTCCTGTTGCTCTAGCTTGATCCTTCGCAGAGTTATGACCAAAAACTCATATTTGACCTTGGTTACCTTGACCTTTAAGTGACCTTGACTGGTTTCAACCTGTAACATCCAGTGTACTCCGGTTATGTGTGTGCCAACTTGTGTGATGATTGGGTGAATATTTTAGGCCACAGATGGTTCAGTAATTGCCGAAATTGCCTATCCTTTATAATGACGTGACTTTTCAATTGACCCGTGTGACGTCAAATGACCTCAGATCGCCAGCAAACTTTTTTTGTGGCATCGGGCACAGGGGCTTGACCCACGTACCAAATTCGGTGACAGTTGGTCCATAAATGGCGGAATTATTACAGGTGGACAGACACACAGACACACAGGGTGAATACAAAACCTGGTCAACCCTTCAGGGACCAGGTAATAAGTGTAAAAGATGAGAGTAGATGTAAAAACAGTGTCAATATAAAAAAAAAAAAGTACTGCAGCCTGTTACAAATGATTCATACAAATAAAACAATAAATACTGGTAATTTAATCAAGTATACCTGGTAAAACTGCATAAAGGAAAATCAATACTACATACATAATAAATCATGACATATTGCCACATTAACAAGTATACAAGACAAAGAGATAAAAATGTACTGCTATGACTATCTTAGTGTTTATTTAGCAGTATATAAAAGTGGAGAGGATTATCTGGAGTCACTACACAAACTCCTCTCCCTGAGCACACATTAGTGTAATTAATAGAGCACATTACACTGATTGGAGATTAGAGAAAACACGGGATTCAAATACGACTCACTTTCACTGAGCAACTTCTATGTTCAACCACAAATATATTAGAATAGATCAAAACATGAATCAAATCTAATATGGGTTGTGATTATGTTTACTGAGAGTAGCTGCCCACTACAGGGGACGACTATTAGAAAAGGTGCACTATGGTACTTTCTGGTGAAACGTCCACCATCTGCTTGTCTCCATGGAGATGTGTTCCTGAAAATGTGAGACAGGCCTCGACTTTGACGCTGTTTAAATCCAGGCTGAAAACGGTTCAGTTTAGCTGCATATGACTGAAAGGTTTTCGTTCAGCGCTCTTCTCTCTCATTTATGTAATTAATGTCTCTCTCATTTTAATTTTGTGATGATTATTTATGTTTTGATTTGTTTTTATTGTAATTTAGATGTATTTCTTATTCTGTGAAGCACTTTGAATTACTTTGTGTAGGAATTGTGCTGTACTTGCCTTGCCTTGCCATGGCATTAATCTTATCTATCTCCATGAATGTGAGCATGTGGCAGTACCAGGCCAAGTTCCAGCTCAGTGCATGTTTCCCTGATATTTAAACCCCTGTTAAAACTGCTAACATCTAACTCGGTAAGCAAGAACGCTTTCTCTACCAATGAAATGTTTCAAATGAGCTGGTGAAGGTGAACAGACAACACAAGACATGTATATTTAATAAGAAAACAACATTATAACATGGCTCAAAGCTCAAATTGAACATAACATACGTACATTTAACCTTTCTGACACTTCCAAAAACATGTTCACCTGTTGTTTACATCGTACACTGCTGCGGTGGGAGTGCAGGGACCCAGCGGTAACTCTCTAAGTCAAGAAGTGTCATTGGATTATCTGTGGTGCACCTGCCTCGGCTCCAGGCTCTCCTCTCAGATCTGCACCTGAGTCTCCGGCTGCTCCTCGTGAGCCCAGTCTCTGCTGAAATGACATGACTGCCGTTTTTACCATGAGGAATGTCCTACAACTACCACACATCTTCCTCTTCATCCACACCTGCTTTGGTGAGTGACCGATTCAAATATAAGATTTTTGTGTGAAATTTGAAGCAACTTCTAAAGTTGTAGGCTAGTTGTTGGGTATCAGATCACTACATTCTATAGACCTATGATACCCTGAGACTGACAAATAACTGTAATATGCACATTTAATGGTGTAGTTAATTAAATATAGCAAGTTAAAGAAGATTTCCTCCAATGCTAATTATCAGTTGGAACATTTGTGAATTGTCTTGACATAGACGCAAGAACACTGACTACTGCCTCTATCCGAACAGAAAAGCTTCAAAATTCTTATTAGAATCTTTCTTTTTCTGTATAGTGTGTATCAGTGTATCAGTGTTCTGTAGGGTGTATCAGTGGCGTAGTGAGTTAAGCGTTCGCCCACTAATAGAAGGTTGTTGGTTCACAGTTTGTCTAACCGCTCACTGTTGTTGTGTACCTGAGCAAAACAGTTCTTCCACACTGTCCATTTAAGTAGTTTTTATTTCATTCTTTTAATTTATAGATTTTGATAAGTTATAATACAAGACTTCTTAACACCACAGTGCTAAAAGTAAATAAATAATAATAATAATATTAAATAAATAATAATAACAAAAAAAAAAAAAAATGTAAATTTCAGTACGTTTAAACAGCATCTTATTGTATATATTCTACTAATACAGCTTAATTGGCTTTAATAAAGCATGAATAAAGACTTAATTCATAATGAACAACTTGCTGAATGTCTCTCCCCTCTCTACTCCCCACAAAAAAAAACATGAATGATTCTGGGGTAATAACTACATAATTAATACCAAAACCCCAACTCTTAATTTATAACCCCTTAATAAAAGGTGTACTATGTAACTTTTTAGGTTGAAGGTCTGTCATCTGCTTGTTTCTATGGATTTGTCATTGCTCTGCCTGGAATGTTCCACAGTATGACATTAAACAGCTCTATGTTTCTACATTTATTCAATTACAGGTGGTTTTATAGCTCAAAAATACCTAGGAAAACAAACATTCTCACTGTGAACGGGGCTGCCTCTCCACAGATCTGACCTGTAACTTGCTCTGGCTTGGTCTCCATGAAGATAGAAAAGTTTAATCCCATACTGTGAAACATTCTAGATAATGCAATAACATCTCTATGGAGAAAAGCATTTGATGGCCTCTCCACCAGAAAGGTTACATAACGCACCTTTAAGTAGTTTTTAAAAAGCGATTTGTACATTTTGAATTTCATGCTTTATTAAGGCAATAGTTTACTTATATAAGGTGTTACCAAAAATACTTGTGAATGTGGCAATACCAATTAAATAAACCCTTAAACCTAAGAAAAAAAAGACTTGTATAAGATTAAATGTGCAGCTGTAATCCCATGTACTATACTACTATTGTGTATATACTGTATTTCTGGGGCAGCATGTATTTTTAGCTGGTACGAGTTGTGACACAGTTGGAGAGACTTGTCCACTTCTCATGATGTTGAACAGAAAAGAATGTACAAAGAAAATGAACCAGATTAGGGCTGTGTGTATATATAGGGAGAGGGAGTATTTTTGGATCTTGACGTAATGCACCTTTAATCCTGAAGGAGAGACTGGGTTCAAAGAGCTGCTGAAGGCCGCTTTGTTTACACCTTACGTAAAATTATATATTACATTCAGCTAGTGGGTACACAAGGGGATATTTGAAGTAATACTTTTTAGAATTTGACTTATTTAACTCAAAAATGAACTACTGACCCTTGGACATGACTGACAGTTGATGTTTGATTTCCGTGGTGGGTTTTTCTGTAGATTTGTGTGCGTTTTGAGTGTGTAGAGAAAGGTGGTGTGAAGGTATTTTGTTTTATTTTTATCCATTTTTGTTTTTGTTATGTAAAAGTTCACAATTGGGGAAAAAAAGTTGCTGATCCTGAATAAATACAGTATATTATGTCACATTTTTACATTCAGTTTCTATGTAAATCCAAAGCAATTTATTTTAAGATGATCTATTTAAAATATAATAGGTGATTCAATTTATTCATTTATAGACAACATTTCTATCTCTATATCTGGAATACACAAGCCCTCCCAGTCAACACTGATAGGAGGAAGTGACACAGTGGGTTAAACATTCACCCACTAATGGAAGAGTTGCTAGTTCAAAATTAGCTACAAGATATTATTGTTATGTTAATTCACATTGCCGACCTATTGTTGGGTTTCAGATGACATTACAACATTCTACAGGCCAAGAATAATTTCATAGAGATTGTGGGCAGCTAAAAGGAATATTTAAAAAAATAAAATAAATACAGATTTTTGTTGAAATCCAATAAGATCTTGGGTAAGAAATTTTCATGCTTAATATTTGTAAATTTACCTTTTGGATATTTTATGGCAAATTAAAATGTGTGAAGAATCCCTCAGTCGTCCAGGTAGAATCCATGGCGAAGAGAAAATTCAGCTTGTCGACTGGACAAAAGTGTTGACAATTTTCTCCTTGCCAGGCAAATTAAAATGTTATCAATAAGCTTTTGTCTTTTGTCTACCATCTGGGAGTATAACATCATCATCATTCTGAAAACCTCCAATAGTAATGTAGCCAGACAGGAAAAAGTGCCAATCAAATCACTATGGAAGTTGTTTTCACTGTGGTATGATCCAAAATATTTGAGTAATCACTAATAGTTCTATCCAGGCTGGCACCACCGAGTGCCACCGCTCAATTTCATTTCTCTCCAGCGACTAGGTCAGGAATCGGAATACACTAGATGGTTTGCTAGAAACCCGGAAGTTGTAGACCGTGCACCGGCCAATCAGCAAAGAACTGTGAAGCCGGCAATTACTTGGACACCACTGAGCATTCCGGCGCATTACAGACGTCACGACCAAATAGCAGCAACTGGTTAAATACAAAAAGTACCCGCTTACCTTTGAGCGAATGAATCCTAATGCTGCGATGAATCAGACAACTATAGTACCATACAGTAGCACACAATCAATGTAAAAAACATCCATATCAAGCTTGCAAATGCTGTTTAGTGTTTTGCTCTAGTAACAAGCAATAGAAGAGGGTATATTTGATAAAGTGGTCATTGACTGTGCAGTGTGTTGTACGTTAACATTTATTTGTTGTGTCTGTGCAGCTAAAGCAGACTTCGCCCCGTACTTCTACGACAATGGACCGTACAGCAAGAACGGAAACATGGCACTGTTCAGCCTCTCGGAAGACACACCTGTTGGTAAGAAAAATCATCTTTAAAAATGTAGAAAATGAGCAGTAGTGAAAATAAAAAAGCCAATAATACCATATAAACTCTTCAAACTTAGACGTGGACAAAGTTTATTGATCCATAAGAGTAATTATTTAGGCACAGTATCACACATCACAATAAATATAATAACAAAGAGCAAAAATATGAAAAGATAACAGTGAGAAAAGACACTGGCAAAATGGAGATGGAAAGGTTGAGGAGGCTTTTGGATCTGCTGCTGCGGAAGAGAAGAGGAGGTCAAAGGTTGTAGTTGAGATATCACAAAGAAGGAGGGGGGTGAGAGTGACTACAGAGGTGAAACATAACAAAGTAAAAGTAGTAAAGTACTGCAGTAAAACATTAAAGTGTCTGTAGTTTACTTGAGTTCATTTTTAAGTGGGTATTTTTTACTTGTACTTCACTTTAGAAGCGTTTGGTTGAAGGCAAAGTTATGGGTTAAGTTATGACCATAAACACCATGTCAAACACAGCTAATATTGTTCCAGGTTGCACTTGTAAAATATTACATACATATCTTTGTCCTCATTGGTTAAAAGTGTAGTTTTAAAGTATTATAAAATCACAGTTGTAAGGAAGGGCATCTGATGTAAAACAGTGAAAACAAAACAGCCTATTCACTAAATGGGGTTTGGGATGTACTGTAGCTGCAGACTAAACTAATATTTTGCATTGCTGGCATCCACAAATTAATAAATACAAGCTTAAGAATCTTATATAAGTTTTGGTACATTTCTGTGGTTTTCCAAAATAAATTCTTGCCTCCATTTTGGTCCTAAATTTAGAGCATTACTTGTGCTGGGATTCCTCTGGGGCCAGTGAGTTTCCCACAAAACTCCCCAGACGCACAGTGCAGCCAGTCTAGAGCTGAACTTAATAATTTTACTCAATTACTACTTTTTAACCAGCACCTAAAACTACTGCAACTACTTTTAATAGACGGGCAGGACTTTTCTTGCCTGGTGGTTTCCTCACTGCAAACTGTTGCAAGCAAATATAACCCTTTTTTTAGATTTTTATGTGAACTTAAGAAACTTCAAAATAAAATTGTACTGTAGTGTAGTTGTCAGACACCATACCTTTACTCCTGTACTTGAGTAATATTTTTACAGTGTAACAGTTATCTTACTTGAGTAAATGATGTAGTAAACCTTTCCACTGTTCTTACGATTATATATTATACATTATTATACCTTCGTAATATAATTTTGAGCACAGTATTTGGAAACTCTACCCACCTCTGTTCATAATTGTTAACACAGATGAAGCCATGCTGCTTGTGAGACAGCAGAGTTATTCATGTTTCTCTGCCTGTCAATCTTCTGTCAAACAAAACTCTAGGAAATGCAAAATGGCACCACACCAAGTTCTTGATTAACATCTAGAGTATTGGCTGAGTTTAAAGCCTGAGGCCTGACACCCGCGCTGATGTGATCCGGGCTCAGGGTGGAATAAGCCACTCACGTTCTGCACTAATTGGTTTCAGGCGATGGACGAGGACAAATATGGATGTGTTATACGTGTGTGCATCAGATGCCCCAGAGGCACAGTGGTTGAGTAGCTAGCACTCATGCCTCACAGCAAGAAGGTTTAGGGTTCGATCCCCGGGTCGGTTTCTCCCATCAACTCCACCCAACTCATGCATTGTAGGTACAGTCCTCCAGCTTAGGTAGTCCTGGCCAATACTAGCAGCGCAAACATGTTCCTGATGAAGTGCTCCAGCACCATTGAGCTTGCAGCTCCACAAACCAGACTCTTATTTGGGGCTCCTCCCACTTGTTTCCATGGAAATTCGTTGGCTATCATCTTCTACACTATGGCGTAAAGATGTTCCAAAGTATTAAGGTTTTAACTTTCTATTTCCATAGGGACGTGCCACCTCCAGAAAGTTAGATGGTGTTGCTTTAAGTGAAGTGCAAAAACCTTCTGTAAACCATGTCCACCTCAGCAGCAGAACCATCAGCCTCCCCAACCTCTCCATGTTCTTTTTCTAATTGAATGTCTTCCTTTAGGCACACAGATCTACTGTCTCAACGGCACAGACCCTGAAGGCAACACGGTGAGCTACGGCCTTTCATTTGACCCAGGAACCAAAGAGTACTTCAGGGTCAACTCTAGAACAGGAAATGTCACACTCATCGAACCACTGGACAGAGAGGTGAGTTTAATTCTGTACATTTTATCACTTTTATTCACATGGTTTGTTTCATTTACGTTTGTGTTTTACTTGTGCAGAGAAAAGATTCACTGGACGTCCTGGTCAGTATCAGTGATGGACAAAGCAAGGTAAGGACTTTTTATATAAAAATGTCTTGAGTTGTTGGTTTTGAACAAGTTGATGCTTTTCAGGTTGAGGAGCGAGTCACAGTTTTTATTATGGACACCAATGATGAGAAACCAGAATTTCAAAACCTCCCAGGAATGACCAGTGTGCTGGAGGTAAGTCACACGAGGGAGACATTCTTGCATTGAAGAAGTTCACTTTATTTGGTGAAAACTGTAATGCAAACCTTAAATGAAATGACATGGGCTACTTATCTCATGTTGCGCAAATGATAAACTCACATCAAGGTGGTCAAAATTTTAATTTTTCTACCACAAGGGTCTCCAACCTTTTTCCTCCTGTGGGCTACTTTTTGCAAAACGAAAATGCAAGAGAGATCATTTTAGTGGCTGCTAGAAATTTTGTAAATTTAAAGGCCATGGCAAGCCGTAGATGAGGTGCAGTTCAGTGCTTATACAACAAAACCCGTTATCCAGTAATCAGTACACAAACATAGGCATTAAAATGATACATTTACAATGGAAATAGGTGTTTAATCAAATGTGTGTTATTCAGCGCAATACGTATAATTCAGAAATCCCTTGGCTAGCTGCTTGGAAAGGGATGAAGAGTAACTGGTAGCTCAACGTTTTTTAGTCGAAAAGGTAAAGTTTTTATTCATTTTGGCCTTTTGTCTACATGGAGCCGGTGTTTTGGGTGGGTGAAAATGGTGCTTTTTGAAAACAGGTTCCAGATTGGAGAAATCTGAGAATGGCAGCACTGTTTTTGTTTGCTTATCATGTGGACAAGTAAACCACAGATTTTGGAAAACGATGACATTGCAATTCGTCATTGTGCTTGTGTTTGTTTGTTGTGGAAGAGGAAGGACTTTATGCGCATGTGCTCTTTGTAGTATTGTGTGTCCAGTGGCTCTGTCTGTATCCTGTTTACAGCACCACATACAGGTGTGGCATATGTATTACATCAGTTTCACTCAGTGCTCCGTTGTCATCTGGACATAAATATTTATTGATCTGACAGGTGTGTGGATGCAAATCTTTTTCAAACCGCAAAAAAAAAATAAAAAAAATCCAGGAGCACTGTCATATGGACGTAGCCTAAAGGTCCTATGTTACTCAAAATGTACTCTTGTGAGAACGTTGTGTTTTGGTTTATTCACACATATTTGAGTACTGTAATTGTGGTTTACAAAATGCTCTGTTCCACTCTGTGGTGTCATGTAATGATAGTTTTCATGTTCACAGCTACCTTTTACCTTTAGTTCAAGTGAAAGTGTATGGAGCTTAAAAACACAGTGGAGCACTTCCTGTATTACCACATGACATCACAAGGTGGAAGAGAGTGTTTTCAGTTTGAGAGAAAAACCCTTAAATATGCCAGATTTGTGTGTTAAATATGTGTGAATGAAACAAAACACAACTCCAGGTGTGTTTTTCTGCTTCTCACAAGTTGTCCCATAATGGAAATGTACTTTTTGATTGGTTTTGATTGAAGTAATTGATCTAACATAGGTCTCTGTGTGATATTTCTTTGGAGTTTTTATGTCTAGCAGTATAAGTGTTAATATATTCTTACAAACTATGTTGCAATTTTTTTTTATTTGCCCTTTGTTCCTTCACAGACGACTGAACCAGACACCAGCATCTACAGAGTGGAGGCCGTAGACAGAGACACAGGGTCAGGCGGATCTGTGACCTACTTTTTACAGGTAATTTCACAAACCTATTAAACACCACACACACAATATTCAGCAGGATTACATGAGACAGCCATTTGATTTGGTGGTAATTACACTGTTTAGCTGTGTGAATGAGGCGGAGGTTAATCTTTTTACCACAGGTAGAGCTATGCCGGGCTCAAGGTGGCATGAAACCATTTTGAGCTATGAGCAAATCCACAGCTGTCCCGCAGTGGCACGAGGAGGGGGGGCAAATTTTACCTATGTGCCCCGCCCGCTAACATAAGGGCACCATACATCCAGATGGACAGAGGATTTAGAGAATGGCCTAGTTTGATGCCAACCAAGTGTGTGTTTGCTGCCATCTGACCGCTCGAGTCATGTGACTGATGCATGTTAGTCAGGTGACCTCTTTAGTGGATTCTCTTATATTTTTGTTCACAGATAAAACCCTGAACTCTCTTTGTATTTTATATATACAGGGGCATATCAGTCCGGTTACAACACTCTCCATTGCTTCTCGAGCCAGAACCAAACATGATCGTGCAATCAGATTCAGGAAGAAGACTTTTGAATACTTAAAATGTATTTAGTTACAGATTACTGAATACCTGCAGTATTTTGTAACTTCTTCTGTCACATGGTGCAATCAGAGTACTGTATTCTGAATACTTGGAAGACTTAGAACTGTCAGGTCAAAGGGACCCTTCAGCTGGCATCAGCAACACCACAGGGCCAAAGATTATGGACAAGATTATACGACACTTGTTCTTGTAGAGACTTAGGAACTTTTTCTTCTTCTTTTTTAAGGGGAATTGTATTGAAGATTAATTTTTGTGAGCTTTTATCTAAGTGTTCTCAGATCAAAAACTTACTCAGAGTTGTATTTTCATTCATTCATGCACGTTTGAGTAGTGTTTGAATCCTGCATTTGAGGCTTCAGTGCTCAAAAATGTGTTCATTACCACTACCACCTATCTTTGTCCACTTTAGTTTCATATTAAAGAGGGGGTAGTATGCAAAAATCGACATTTTGGAGTTTTCTGAAATGTTATAAAATCCCCATGCCCAAAGAGGTTTTATATGTCAGCCATGCATGTCTGAGCAACACAGACATCTTATAATTCTAAGAATACTTATAATTGCATGAAATTATAGTGTAAAAAACAGAGCATGTGACACACAACTTGATTTTTGTTGTTTCTTATGCATTCATTTATGTCTAATTGGAGAAAGAAAAGTGAACTGATCAAGTATCGCCATGTATTCCTTTGATTTAAATAAAGTAAACTTGTAAACTATCTAATCTATTCTGAACTACCAGAATAATTGTGCAACAATACAATTACTCAAATTTTCAGAATCTGTATTTTCGGGACATGTATTCAGTTATTTCCCAACACTGTCCATCATTTTGAATAAAATGACATTTCTCTCACTTCAGATGAACAGAGTTTAGTGCTTTGCTCGTTTATTCTGCAGAAATCTGCAATGTTTTTCAGTCCCCTGTGATTTTTTTACCTTTCTCTGTTTATTCGTAAACAGCCATACTGTATTTGTTTTGATATGGATGAACCATGCTTGTCTCCTGATTGGTTAATCCACCTGTCAATCACGCCCATTTGAAGTCAGGGGGTTCAACAGTGACCAGACTCACATCTGCAAAAAGTACTGAAGAAGTGTGTATTTTGGATCCCACCCCAAAAACAACCAATCAAATATAAACTCTAATACAAAAAAAAAAGTGTAATGGCATTTATGATTCTGGTTTAGAGATCGTTAGTTTGAAATAAATTGTTATTTCAAGTAAAAAATTCTTGAACTATTGGAAAATAATCTACCCAAGAATGTGTAACTAAAACAAGCAAACCACTCCAAATCTGTCCAAACCAAATTTATGAATTTTGCAGTGAAAGAAATCCTACTAATAAAACCAAACCGCTTTTTCACAGTAGAAGTATGTGATTCTGGCGTGGAGCTCTATATAAAAGCTTACAGGTTCAGCTTAGATAAATATTGATGTTTTGTCTTTGTCAGAATCCGTCGGGGAGCCTGTTCACCATCGACAGGTACAGCGGAATCCTGAAAATCAAATCTGGAGAAACGCTGGACTACGAGAAATCCAAGACGCATTTTGTCACCGTGATCGCCAAGGTAACGAGGACAAATTAACAGACTTATTTCCCATTCAAATCTCTATATAGACTAATGTAATCAACTATACGGTAACTGACCATAAAATCAATACGAATACGAAATACGAAATAATATATAAGGAATAATATCTGATTTTAGGATGGAGGTGGAAATTACAAAGGAAAGGAGCAGTTTCTGTCGTCTTCTGCCACTCTCACCATCAACGTCATCGATGCCCAAGACACGCCCCCTATTTTCATCGGCACACCGTACTTTGGATATGTCTACGAAGTCACATCACCTGTAAGTCTCTCATGCAAAGCAGTTTGTAAAAGGTGCACTGTGTAACTTTTTGGGGGTCCGTCATCTGCTTGTTTCTATGGAGATGTTCCTGCAATGCCTGAAATGTTCCACAGTGTAACATTAAACATCTCTACCTTACATTTATTCAGTTACAGGTGGTTTTATAGTTTAAAAATTGCTTGAAAAACAGGCATTCTGACAGTGAGCGGGGTCGCCTCTCCACAGATCTGACCTGTAACTTGGTCTGGTTTAGTCTCCACGAAGATAGAAAGGTTTAATGCCACACTGTGGAACATCCCAAGCAAAGAAATAACATCTCCATTAAGACAAGCTGGAAGTGGACCTTTAAAACTGAATTGCTTTTTTTTTTAGGGATCTGAAATATTCCACGTGGAGGCGAAAGATGGAGATGTGGGCAGTCCAAATTCAGTCCAGTACTCTTTCGACGAAGGTAAGAAATTAAATTGTGAATAAAATATTTTCTTTTATACATTTATAATTAATTAATAATATTTATTTTGTATTATTTATATTTGCTTCTCTAGGCGATGATGGTGTGTTCAGCATCAACAAGTCCAGTGGTCGCATCACTCTTCTGACCAGCCCGGCCAATCTGAGGAGGGAGATCTTTAACATACGAGTCAGGGTAAGTGAGCGAAGAAAACTGTTGTAAAGGCACACTCACTTCCAGTTTGGCCTGTGTTTGAGCTTGGTTTGGTTTATGATTTAATCCTCTTTTAGTCCTGGTTTAGTCCTGTTCTGGTCAAGGTTTAGTATCAAGTTTAGTCTCATTTTAGCCCCCAATTTTGATCCAGTGTTCGATCCAAGTTTCATCTTAAAGGTGCACTCTGCAACTTTTTTCTTAGGGGGTCAGCCACCCTAACCCACCCTGGCTCCACCTAGTGCCTCAGCTCAATTTAATTTCTCTCCAGCGATTAAGTCAGGAATTGGAATACACTAGACAGTCTGCAAGAACCCCGGAAGTGTGAGTCTGGGCACCAGCCAATCAGCGGAGAGCCAAACATTCTGTGTTGGTAGTGATTCCTGAGAACGAGGATTTAAAGCCGGAATAAAGAGAATGTTTGGTGAATTTTATCAAGGGGAAAGACGTTATTGCCCTTCTTCCTATGGGATTTGGGAAAAGCTTAATATACCAGTTAGCCCCGTTAGGGGTGCATTACATACATCACGACCAAATAGCAACGATTGGTTAAATAAAAAATTTTACCCAACTACCGTCGAGTGAACGAATCCTAATGCTGCAAGGTCAGACGGTTTCCATGAAGTGAAACCGGCTGATGAATCAGGCTACAGCCACCCACTTGTCTCCATGGAAATGTTATTACTTTGTCTAGAATATTCCACAGTGTAGATTAAGTCTATCTATCATGAGAGACAAGCAGGTTACAGCACTACACTACATTACAATTCAGATCTGTGGAGAGTCACCCTTATTTATAGAAGGAACAAATGTATTTTACAGCGATAGAAACACCTGCAATGAATAAATGCCAGATGGAAATGTTTAATGTTATACTACAGAATATTCCAAATCAAAGCAATAACATCTCCATGGAAACAAGCAATTAGCGGACCATCCACCAGAAAAGTTGCGCATTGCACCTTTAAGATCCACTTTTAGGCTGACATTTAACACTTTGTGAGCTGTGTGGTCCTCTGTGTCTTTTATTAATTTGACTGTATTTTGTGTGTTTTGCTTTCATTTGATTTGACTGTTTTTACGAGTAAGATCAAACTGAGCATGTATTGGGCATCATTTGTTTTCTTTTATTGTTCCGTACTACGTGGTTATATTTTTATAGATTTATTTATTTATTTTTTTCAACATTCTACTTCATTCTGCTTCCTGCTCAGATCCTTATAATATCTAAACCTGAAAACCTTGTCTTCTCCAGGCTACAGAGGTGGGCACAGACGGCGCTCTGCTGGACCACACTTCCACTACAGTTGTGATCCGAGTGGTGGATCTGAACAACAACCCTCCCACCTTCTACGGAGAAAATGGCCCCCAACACATGTTTGAGCTGACCATGTACGAGCACCCACCAGAGGGAGAGATCCTGAGGGGACTCAAGATCACTGTCAACGACTCGGATCAGGTTAGACTCACCCATCACATTATTTACAATAGTAGGGATTTGGGAAGTAACAATATCCAAATCTCTCAGTACGATATTTCCACATTGTATCTCATGGGACGATATTTATTGTGATATTTCCTGTGAATTTGCAACTTTTTCCTCTTAAAATGCCTTGACAAGACTTAACCCAAAGAACTAAGATTTAAAAGTGCTTAGAATTGTTATTTCTTCATGTAGTCTGCACTGAAATGGAGCAAAGGATCATGGTCTATGTAGTTTCCTCTGTTTTTTAGATATAGCTGTACCATAACTCTTAATTTAAGCGAAGAAACTTATAATTTGATGTATTAATGGTGATGGTCCACGGTATTATTGTGAGACTTTTGACAATACATTATCAAGATATTTCAGTTGTTGTCACATCCTGGGACACTATTTACATATGATGGACACTAGATTAGCTCCACAACTCACCAATGTTTATTTACTTTATTTAATATTTTATATGACTAAAACTGTAGTACAGCTTTTAGGGAACTACAGCTTTTCAAGTAATTTAACTCTCCAGAGCGTACCCCCTTTTTGTCCATTTCGAATATAAACACATGTAAAACAAATTTTTCTATTTCAATTCATTTTTCTCATGTGTGCACGATCTTGTGGCAGTTTGGTCTCACATGCAAGATTTTGCCCCAGTCTGAAATTTTGGACATAGGACCTCATTTCCTAGTGAGCCAGAGTGTTGGAGACATGTGGAGACACTTTTTTAAATATTCCATCCAGTCCTTGTATTTGCAGAGGTTGATAGAATAATTTTAGAAGTAAAACCAACCTTGCATTTGAAGGATTTATGTCTGAGCAGCAGCACTTCCTGATGGAAAGCTTGGCAGTGGCAGACTGATATCACCTAGCACCTATCTTATCTAGAAAATAGTCCTTCAACATGCGACGATTCATGCGATGCAAGATTGGTTTTATTTCAGACATTATTCTATCAACACAGACATTTACATCGACAGTCTGGTGTAATAATAGATTTTCTTCAGGTGTTTTGTGGAGTGGGTAAGACTGTTTTCAGTGGCAGGTTAACTATGGCCATTGACATGCACTAGCCTAGCACCAGCGACTTCTGCAAATACAAGGACTGGATGGAATATTTAAAAAGTGTCTCCACACGTCTCCAACACTCAGGTCCAAAATTCCAGACTGTCCACTTAATAATATTGTACATGATCAATAAAATCCATGGTAAAGATCAGTTTGTGTGGTAGTTTGGACACTTTCTGACGCTATGATTCTACTCAACTGAACTGTCCTCCTTCATTGAGAAAGAAAACCTACTATACCTACTGACCTACTATACATAATGGACTTTTCAGAGCATTTAACCATGTTATAGTTGTTTCCTATCACCATTTACTGTATTGAACTTGTATTTGGAGTGATTTGTACATGACTGAGCAATCTTTCACCATTACACATCCACCTCTTTGTACGTTTGTTGTAATTATTTTCTTAATCTGTGATATGTATAGGATTTGGCAGTGTTGTATTGTCATTTTGGTATGAATGATAAAAAAAAAAAAATCACATCTCATTGTTTTATATGAATATTGAAGTCCAAATTATAATATGATATAATTCCTTGTGATTTGGTAAGACATTTAAAAAATTCTATAAAAACATAAATAAAGTTGAATAAATTTCGTCATTAATATATACAGTTTTTTGAATAAATAAATAAAGCAGAACCAAACAAACCACAACAAACAAAGGCAATAGTTTCAACAACAATGTACAAAAGTATTCATGAACAGTAAAAGAACAAATAACTAAAAATATGTACCATATACTGTATTAGTTATCAAAATGATTACAGTCTGTCTTTTTCAATAGCAGTTTATTTGTTTTTTAGCAGAAGATAGATCTTTTTTTTTCATCCACATCATTTGAGCTCTAATACTAGAGGGTCCCTGTTTACTAGACTACTATTATTACATAACGATACATAAACAGATAGAGTGGTCTGGGCTGTTACATTTTGTCCACTGTGAATGAAAACACGTCCTAATCGCACACAAAATTATAACATTTGTCTGATTATGCAATTGTGTTTTTCCTACTTATTTTATTGCATTTCTACTGGAGTATTTCCTGGAATAGTAGTACTACGACTGATATTCCATGTCTATCTGAATCAGCTTCAAGCCATTTTATTGATTAAATTGTGGATTACACTATATTATTTGTGTATTATTATCAGTGGATTACTATAAATAGATACAGCAGTAGCTCAGTTGGTAAAGCTTTTGTCCACAGATGCAAAGGTTGCCAGTACAAATCGCGCTATTGACATAATTCCAGCTCCCACAAATGAATGCTGTCATTGTGTCCTTGAGCAAGACCCTCTAATGTGTGTGTGAGTTAAAAAGACACTCTGGAATTTTGGATTTAGGACCTCGTTTCCTAGTGAGCCAAAGTGTTGGAGACGTGTGGAGACACTTTTGTAAATATTCCATCCAGTCCTTGTATTTGCAGAGGTCGCTGGTGCTAGGCTAGTGCATGTCAATGGCCATAGTTAGCCTGCAACTAAAAACAGTCTTACCCACTCCACAAAACACCCAAAGCAAATCTATTATTACACCAGACTGTCAATGTAACTGTCTGTGTTGATAGAATAATTTTAGAAGTTAAACCAACCTTGCATTTGAAGGATTTATGTCTGAGCAGCAGCTGTGAGTTGTACTTCCTGATAGAAAGTTTGGCGGTGGCGGACTGATATCACCTAGCACCTATCTTACCAGCAAAGTAAAATTCCACTGCTGCTGAGAAAATAGTCCCTCAACATGCAACGATTCATGTGATGCAAGGTTAATTTTATTTCAAAAATTATTCTGTCAACATTGAACTCTGTCTGGCGTAATAACTGACATGCACTAGCCTAGCACCAGCGACCTCTGCAAATACAAGGACTGGATTGGATATTTTAAAAAGTGTCTCCACACGTCTCCAACACTCTGGCTCACTAGGAAATTAGGTCCTATGTCCAAAATTCTGGACTGTCCCTTTAATGACAAGGTGGTTCCATTGATGTAAAGAACTTTGAGTGTCTTGACGGTGGAAAAGTATTATATAAAATGCGACAGTTTTACCATTTACTATACTATTTGTGCATTATTTTCAGTGAATTTCTATAAGTAGCTCTCAGAAATGAATACTGTCTTTGTGTACTTGGGCAAGACACTTAACTCACCTCACTCCCAGTGTCTGCGTACAGCACACTGATGTATGAATGTGTGTGTGAATAGGTGAGTGGTTCGCTGATGTAAAGAGCTTTAAGTGTCGTGAAAAAGCGCTATATAAACATGTGATCATTTTACCATTTACTAGATTATTTGTGCATTATTTTCAGTGGATTACTATACATAGATATTTGTATGACTGGCTATGTAATAATCTTATGTAATGTGCTTGACAGGGGGCTAACGCTAAATTCAACCTGCGCCTGCTGGGACCGGGCCGGATGCTCCGAGTGGTGCCACAGACGGTTCTCAACGAAGCTCAGGTCACCATTTTGGTTGACGACTCTGCCGCCATGGACTACGAGAAACACCACTTCCTCACGTTCAAGGTGGAACTATAGAAATGTTGTAGGCAGACGTTATTGAGCCACAAGGGAAATTATGTGGACACAGTAGCTCACACAATCACAATATAATATAATATTAGAGTCCAATAAATATAAAACGGTAAAATAAAATATGAAATGTACGTCTAGGTTGTAAACATTTATTTATAGTGTCAGAATAAACAACTAATCATGTATTTCAGATGTAAAATTTCCAGTATTTGACCTATATACTTGAATAGACTTATTTATTCAGTTGTAAGCCAATGCTATTCCCATTGCAAGTAGTTATAGTTAATTACTGGATTAGGTATCAACATGTCTTGCTCAAGGGCAGACTTTCGAGCATTTTGAGGTTTGAATTGTACCACTGTGATACCAGTAAGCTGACAGAACTGAAGAGGTAGTGAAAACAATTCACTCCAAAACATTTGTCCAGCTGGCAGAATTACAATTTTCTTTTGAAACATAATATTTTCTAGCCAGGCTGGCGCCACCTAGTGTCTCCGCTCATTTTCATTTCTCCCCAGCGACTAGGTCAGGAATCAGAATACACTAGACGGTTCACAAAAATCCTGAAAGTGCAAGTTCGAGCACCAGCCAATCAGTGAAGAGCCATATATTCTGTGTTGTCGATGATTCCCGAGATCGAGGATTTAAGTGTGGAACAAAGAGAATGTTTGGTGAATTTTATCAAGGGTAAAGACGTTTTTGCCCTTCTTCCTACGGGATTTGGGAAAATCTTAATATACCAGTTAGCCCTGTTAGTGGCGCATTACATATGTCACGACCAAATAGCAGCGATTGGTTAAATAAAAAAGTACCTGCCTACTGTCGAGCGAACAAATTCTAACACTGTTTCTATAAAGTGAAACCGGCTGATAAATCAGGCTAAACAATATATTTTAGTTTTCTTCAATTCTTACCATATGAAACACATTTACAGTACATTTAATCATATTCAAAAGACATTCATAAAGCACTTTCTTGCGTCAGATCCTGGCCGTGGAGGTGGACACTCCAGAGAGATTCAGTGCCACCGCAGACATCGTCATCCATCTTCTCGACACCAATGACAACGCTCCCAGATTCTCCGCCGAATATTACATTGCTCGCATCCCGGAAAACTCACCCGGGGGCACAGACGTTGTTACGGTTACGGTAAGAAACCCCTTATCCTATCATTTTCATTTTGTTGTGTAACACCGAAAAGCATTGCGATTTGTGTTTTTTTTTATGATATGATTCTGTTCAAAGTTCACATTTCAGATTCAGGAGCATTGGTAAAAGACATGATATGATATGAAGTGACAAACTAAAACAAAACACATTTCAGAACGTGTTTGAACAGATCTAAACTACAGGGTTAGCATTTTTTATGCAGAATACGTTTTTTTTTTTTGTTTGTGGAGGAAATTATGTTACTTAAAAATAAGCTAATTGCGTCCATTTCAAGGGTCCATATTACTCAATTTTTTTATCTATATTGTAGTGTTGTTGCCTCATCAAAAACAGACCTGGAGTTGTGTTCTGTTTCATTCACATGTTTAACACACAAATCCTGCATATTTAGGCTGAGTTCTTCGCTCAGACTGAAAACTCCGTCCCACCTTGTGATGTCAGAAGTGTTCAACTGTGTTATTGAACTCCATACACCTTCACTAGAATCATTTTGATAATTTCAGACCTGGAATTGCTAATCTCTACTGAACAAAAGGTAAAAGGAGCTGTTAACTTGAAAACTACCACTTCATGACATCACAAGGTGAAACAGATCATTTTGAGCTTTGGAAACAGACTAATAAAGGAGGCTTACTCAAACATGGGTGAATGAAACAAAACACAATATGTTTTTGATGAGGTAACAAAATTATAACAACATTAAAGCTCACAAAAGTAAATTTGGTGTAATATGGGACCTTTAAATTGTCAGTTCCATTCAGTCAGCTTTGTAGCACATGCAGCCGTTGGGGACAGATATGCACGAGGGACATTTTGTATTCGTCAGACAGACTTTGACATTTTCAGCGTTCGTTTTATCCCCTGCCCTTCACTGTGATGAGACGCAGGGAGCAGCGTTAATAAATCCGAGGTGTGTGTGAACGCTGCACGGCCGGGCACGGTGCCTTGATCCAGGACAATTTAAATCAGATAAAAGAACAGACGGACAGATGAACCTTGATCCTCCAGACTGATCATGAACATACACGTGTCCATGAGATATTTGAAAATTAGGTGATGTAAAAATGTGTTTGCTCGAAAGGGTAAAAACTAAATCTGACTATTTTTTATAGATTTTTATAGAAATGTTGTTGGTGCCGATTTTTACCATAGTTAAGGTTGATTTATTTTTATTTTATTCATGTACAGTATTTATTATAATTAATTTAGTTTCATCCTATTTTTGATTATTCTGACAGTCTGCTTCATTGTCTGTTTTTGTATACTTCCTATATTTTTATTCTTTTTGTATTATTATTGTTCTTTGCTGAGCATACAGCACTTTATAAAATATTTTTTTTAAAGCGCTCTATAGAAAAAAAATCGTTCATTCATTCATTTTTCAAAATAAAACCAAAAATAAGAAAACAAAAAAACAACAATTTTCTTCATTATTTGTCTCCAAAACCAAAATGGAAAAACAGATAACGATACGTATTTTCAGTTTTCAATTTTGTGTTTAAATGAATAATGGAAAAAAACTGAAAACGGCCACTTCCCGTGACTTAAGCTATGTTTATATGATAACGGTCTGAGCAGAAGATGCAAAAGTGGCATCGCATCTTCACTTTTTATTTTGCATTATAACGAGCAACTCTGCGTGCATATGGTGATGCAAAAGTGTGTAGAATTCAATTGGGTATGCATGCCAGGCGACTAGGTGGTGACACCAGGTGGTGATGTATGTGATGTAAACGTGAGCAGATCTGACCAGAGTTTGGTGTTTTGGGCAGTGTAGACATAAATGCTACAGCAGAGCATATTCAACTTTTCCACTCTGGAGTGTGGTTTCAGATTTTTACGTTTTTAAGCCACAACAACGCCGTCACTGTCTAAACGAAAGGCACTTCTGAAATATTTTGTCGTTCTCGTGTAAACAGGCCCTTAAACTGCGATGCCGGACTTTTGCGCCGCATATGGACTGATCCCAGGTCTGAACCAGGTCTAAACCAGGACTAAAACAGGACTAAACTGGTCTCAATCAGACAAATAATTTTTTTGTTATCTTATTTATGGTTTTATTTTAAAAAACGAATGAACGAATGATACACAGATTAATAAAGATTGATTATTTTTATTATAATGGTATGCTTGGCTTTCCAGTAAAAATATTTCACTTGGAAAACAGGACATTTGTCAGACGGTTTTACAGATCATCTGAATACATTTAAACAAGCTTTAACCTCATATTTTTAGTTCATTACTTTAGAGTAGGTGGCTGGGCATTTCATTCATGATGTAGTTAAAGTTGAATTTAAAGGTTACAGTCTTATGAACTTGAAAACAACAAATAGCATGCCAGCAGCGCATCATTGTCAGTTCCTGGTTTGTGGAAAGTAAAGCTCTTTAAATACAGATTTGTTGAAAACATGGTCTCTACAAAAAAAAAAACTCTTATTTTTCGTAGGCCTCAGACCCAGACTCCGGACCATGGGGTGATGTGAAGTACTCTCTGTATGGATCAGGAGCTGAGCTGTGAGTATGATCCTAACACTTTTAAAACACATTTGCGAAAATAAAACGCCAAAATTGAACTTTGGTAAATACTTTGTAGTTCAACTGTTTTTACTGTAATAACAACCTCAAAAATTCACAAATTCTCTGGTCTCTTGTTGAGTTCAAATACGCAGCCTTATCTAAATCTCTATACCTTTAGTGTTTATTTAACCTGAGTTCAAGAGTGCCCCGAAGGATTTCCTGGGTTTACATCCACTTTTATTACATTTCCATGGCAACCAAATGGAAACTTAGTGAGCGATGTTTTCTTTTTTTCTTGTCTTTTTACAATACGACCAAAAAGAAGTAGTGTGTGTCTCTTCTTTTTATGGGTCCTATCTTTTCAGACTCAAAACCTTAAGCTCGTGTGATCGTCTAAGAGCCTTCAAACTGAGTAATTCCTGTAAACAAGTAAACATGGAGAGTTGCTTCAATAATACAAAGTGACAGGTCTTAGTCTTTAGGGATTTTCCAGTCAAGCGACCTACTTCCAATAAAGATCGTTTGGGAGAAAGCACATTTTAGGACTAACGTTAGCTTCTTAGGCCGGGATGTTGTCGGAAACAGTAGTTCCAACACAGAAGTATAAACAGATTTGAAATACTTGTAGATTAGTGCATATTTAGTTTGTCCCAGACCACTTTGTGTCTCTAGGGATTAGCTTGAAACGTCCCTTAAAAGTGTATGTGTCGTATTAATAGGGACGTAACGATATCCAAATCTCTCAGGACGATATTTTTTCGATATTTTGAGAAGGAACAAAATAGTGGATATGCTACTTTTTATTTTTATGCCTTGACAAGACTTTGGTTCTGCCATCATTTAAAAGTGCTTAATAACAGTTATCTTCATGTAGTCTGCACTTGAACAGAGCAAAGGATTATGGTCTATGTAGTTCCATTTTCTATTTTTTTAACTATTGCTGCACTATAACAATGAATTTAAGCAAACAGACTCATAATTCGATATATTTAGTAATGGCCCACGATATTGTGGCACTTTTGATGATACGATATTACGATATTTCAGTTAGTGTTACGTCATATTAAGGTTTTTGTTGCTAGACTTTATGGTTCTGTGTCTAAAATTCTAGATATAAGACTTGTTTCTCTCTTGGTTTGGTTGTAACTTGAGATAGTCAGTGGGAGAAGTTGGACTGATCTTTGGCGCCATCCGCTAAGCCCATAATGGGATTGTGGGAGGAAATAGACTGGTACTTCACCTAGTTCACAGTGGGGGGGCATGTGCTCTCTCCATAATAGAGCTACATAGCATAGCTGTGTACGAGGTGCTGGATCTACAGTAAAAGTCTGAAGTACAACTATAGCATACTTATATTCATATACTTATAGTGTAGTCCAGGGGTCACCAAACTTTTTTCTCTGGGGGCCACATTATCGTTTCTGACTGTGATGGGGGGCGGGGGCGGGTCAGCCATATAACAGAATTGTACGACCCTGACAACGCAGATTATATTCTATTGAAACACTTTCTTTACATATCAAACAAACTGCATGCTCCTTACACTGAACAAAAATATAATCGGTCATCCATTGTTCTTTGAAAATTCAGGACTATCTATCAACTTTTTGTACTTCAACACGAGCCATTTTGCTGTCTTTAACTGCACTACAGAACTCTGCGCCTGTGTTGACTGTCACTGTTTCATCTCGAGCTTGTCAGATGATGAAAATTCAGTGTCAAATTCAACAGCAAATGTAAATACGTCATATAATTATTTCAATATAAATACTTCACATGAATATAATTTTTTATTGAAAAAATCTACAAAATATAAGATGCCAATGTGTTTTTATTTGCCAAAAAGTAATAAAAAAAATAGGCCATGACAACTTTTTATGACCTCTGGTGTAGTCAGTCCAGTGTCAGGTCCGCATTATTTACAACTGTAGTACCTTGTTTTTAAAGGTTACAGTAAAACACCATAATTTTACTTCCTCACTTACCTTATGCCCTCAGAGCATCGTAGTTATCCATGCAATGAGTTTATAAGCGCTTTCCAGAGACCAGTAATGCAGTCACAGTAAAGCTAACAACAACTAACATGCAAACACATGCTTCCTGACTCTCAGAAATGCTTTATAATTAGATGCACATAGTACAAAGCTGCCTATTGCTAATTCAGTATATCTGCAATAAAGTCCCTATAAACATTAATCTAACACCTGTACTTACTAATGAGCAAAGTAATCTAATTTTTTGCAGTTGACATGTATTAAATTCTTAAATTCACAGTATGCAAACTGTACTGTTTTTGTACTTAATAATACAATAATACAATGTTGTACCATAATATCCGGTGTAACCTACTGTGTTAACCTACTGCCTGTGTTTACCTTGGACTTTTTAGCAATGAGATAAAGGCAGAATGTTACTATAAACTTAGATATTTCTGCACTGCCGAATAGATAATGTTACTTACTTAGATATTTCTGCAGCCGTAGAAAATGTTATTACTGATTAGTATGGATGTAACAATATTCAAATCTCTCGATACGATATTATCACAATATGCATCTCAGTACAATAAGTACGATACTTACTGAGATACTTTGGAGAGGCTGATATAATTGTAGATGGGACACTTTTTTTCTTTTAAACTACCTTGACAAGATTTTGATGTGAATTATTACTGTCATAATCCCAAGAATTCAAGTTAAAAAACATATTTTTTCATGTTGTTTGCACTGAAAAGAATCATGGGATATGTAGTTCCCGATGTTTATAAGCTGTTGCTACTATAAAACCATGAATTTAAGCAAAGGAACTTGTAATTCGCTATATTGTGACAGCCCACGATGTTATTGTTATTTTGACAATACGATATCACAATATTTTGGTTATTGTTATATCCCAACTGATTAGTGCATATTGACGATCCCTACCTCCATTAACTATCTAAACAAATATTCTCCACAGGTTCCTGATCCAGCCGGCTTCAGGCATCATCTACACACAGCCCTGGGCCAGTCTGGATGCCGAGGTGCGCTCCAAATACAACTTCTACGTGAAGGCCGAGGACGCAGAGGGGAAGTACAGCGTGGCTGAGGTCTTTGTCACTGTGTTAGACCTGAATGACCATCCACCAGCCTTTAACCAGAACCTCATGGAGAAGACCATGGTGATCGGGGCTCCTGTCAAGATAGAGGTATTAGTATTGTTCTAAGACTTAGACTTAAACTTTATTGATCCACAACAGAATTTATTTGGACTTAGTAGCTCACAGCATATTATAAAAACAAACAGAAACACATGATTTGTATAAATTCTAAATAAGTAGCAGAAATAGCAAGAGACTGATGTCAAATAAGGCATAATTATATAAATGTATATGTAAAAATAAAAGTGCAACATAGTTTAAAACTACAAAAGTTTTATTATTGAACCGTGTTGGAGTAGGCCTATACAAAGCAGAAAGTCTATGGAGCTTGCCTTTGTGGAGTGTGAAAGGCCAGGGTCAAGTATAATAGATTACAGGGTGAGATGCAATGATTACCTATGGAAGATAATTTGTTCCATCAGATTTTGAAATTTGAATATCACTGAATTTCTCACTTTGAATTTTTTAACTAAATAACGGAATTATTTGTATTCTGAATTTTAGCTGTTGAAATTTTAAGTATACTTTTTGAATATAATTCTAATTCAAAATAAAAATTTCACCTTTTACACTGATATTTTCAAGCCCTCAAATTCAAAAGTTAAAATTCAGAGTGTAAAATTCGCAGTGAAAAATTTCACAACAAAGATCCAAGATGCCAAGGTAAAAGCAATCAACCTGTGTGAGAGGAGGACGGAGGCTGTTTCCTATTGGCCGTTCTCATATGTGGGCGTGTTTACGTTTATGAAATCAGAGATGGAGTTTTGATGAGGCTAATTCTGACCAATTAGATCAGTTCACTACACTACACCAGTTACTAAGTTTGATCGGATCACGTTGGATCAATTGCTTCTGCCTTGGCATTTTGAATCTTCCCTGCGAATTTTTTTCACTATGAATTTTACACTCTGAATTTTGACTGTTGAATTTGAGGGCTTGAAAATATTTGTGCTGAATATTGAAAAGTTTTTTGTTTTTTGTTTTTTTAAATACTTAAATAAAACTTAAATTTTAAGATGTACACTTGTACACATTTCAGAGTTTCAGAGTTAAAACATTCTAAGTGAGAAATTTAATGGCATTTAAAATTTAAAATCTGATTGACATTATCACTTCACACTTCCTGTTTTGCAGAGAATAAAATGCTCTATAATTATATGCAGACAACAGACTTTGGTCTCATTTTCATCCTAACCTCTCGCTCACACAGCTCGTGATGCAGCTTCAGTCTGATGGCAGCAAGTATTACAGTATATCTGTACTAGGGCTGAACAAAATTGTATTACATTTCATAGAATCGGGACAATCCCTTTAATAAATATTGCTGATCAAATGTATCCAGAGACTGTGAGATGGTGAGGAACGGCTAAAATGTAGATCTTACTGCTTTAGATTGGTCTCACTGACATAAATTTTGAGTCCATTTAGCTTCTATTTTTATCAATTTGTTTTGTTTTCTACCAGTCCTAATAAAATGTACAAATGAACAGAAAATGACAAACGTTTGCTTCTCCACAGGCTGTTGATGACGACGCAGAAATTCCCAACAATGTGATCGAGTACACCATCATGAAGGCCGAACCAGATCCAAACATCTTTGACATAAACGCAGACACCGGGGAGATCAACCTGAAGTCCTACATCAAGTCTCTGGCCATCATCCAGAACATCACCAACAAACGAGACTACAGCTGGTCTCTGGTGGTGCAGGCGAGGGACAGGGGGCAGCCGTCTTTTAGCACAACCGCTGTGGTCAAGATCGACATCACAGAGGCGGTGAGTTACAAAAATGAAACCGCATGGATCTCTGGTTAAATCCACAGTATGTAACTTTTTAGCTAAATAAATTGACTAAACTTATATTCCAGAGTATGGCATAAAACTGATCTGTCTCCATGGAGAATGTTTTAAAATATGGTTTTAACTTTATATTTCCATGGAATCTGGCAAATGACATGCCACTAAGCAAAAAAACAAGCAGAAAAAAGAAAATGTTTTTGTTCAAGGTCCATGTACCATTGGTTCTTTTGAATTCAATTAAGAAGAAGAAAAAATATAAAATGGGAAAACCCTTTGTTATTTCATTATTCTGTTTTAGTATAAAAAAAAAACTGATTTTGATGTCTATTTCCAATATTTAATTTAAAGTTTATTTCAAATAACACCAATAAAAAAAAACTGTCTCGGGTGCCTATTTCGGAGAATATGGATATAGAGGTCGAAATCTTTATTTATTTATTTTTTTCAGTGAATAATGAAATAACAAACTGTTCTCCCATTTTTACGTTCTTAATTGAATTCAAAAGAATGAATCATATGCAGCCCGTTCAACAACAGGAAATGACATTTTTCCAACTCAAAGTTCAAGAATAGCTGGAAAATAGAAATATGCAATCAGAAATTAAGACAAACCATTTCAGTAAAATATTAGAAATACTTGAAACTTTGAGGTAATGAAAAAAGCAGTTGGAGACATTTAACAAGAATTAAAAGACAGGGAATGTAGCCTGAACTACTTCTGCTATGTTGTAGTTTTCTTTAAGTAAGACAAGTTTATGTGTAGAGCACAATAAGTACACATTGTAATTCAAAAGTGCTTTACAGAACAATAAAGATGCATTTACTTGAATTAGAAACTTTTTTTTTCATAAAATATATAAAGAGTATATAGAAAACATAAGTAGAAATAAACTGGGCATAAGGCTAAAAGCTAATGGCTAACGGAGCAAAGCTAATGTTGCTACAAGTAAGTACATAACCTGTCACTATTAAACACACCGAAATATCTGAACAAAATTGACTCTTGTGAGCTTTAAGCCATGTTAGAACGCTGTTACCTCCTCAAAAACATATCTAGTGTTTCATTCACACATGTAACCGTTTATTATTAGTCTGTCTACATCTCCAAAGCTCAAAATGCTCTGTTCCACCTCATGATGTCATGAAGCGGTAGTTTCCAAGTTGACAATGAGCTACCTTTTACCTTTAGTAGAGTCTGGCAATTCCAGGGCTGAAATCTTGCAGATGATTCTAGTGAAGGAGTATGGAGTTTAAAAACACTGTGGAGTACTTCCTGTATTAACACATGACATCACAAGGTGGAACAGAGTGTTTTCTGTTTGAGAGAAGAACATGGTCTAAACATGCAGGGTTTATGTTAAACGTGGGAATGAAACGAAACATCTCCGGGTATGTTTTAATGAGGAAACAGCATTACAACATAGACCAGAAAACAGTGTAATATGGGTTCTTTAAACGTGTAGGTTTTGAAATACAGTATGTCTTACCTAGATCCACTTTGTTGCAGGTGAAATCCCACTTTTACTCATACTTCCTGAGCCTAAAGAAGCGTCCCAGTAAAGTCTTTGGCTTGTGTCTGACCGTGGTCACTTTCGCCGTGGCTCTGACCGTCTTCATCTCCACTCTAATTTTTTGGAACTCTGTGAAAAAGTCCCGTGTGAAACCAAAGGGCAAGATCAGAAAGATTGCACGGAGGCCTGTGCCGTAGCCATGACAATGCTAATCTGCTTTTTGAGGGTGTAGAAATTAATGTTTTACATCTTTGATTTTATACTCTGTAGGGATTTTGTAAAATGATTTATAAAGAAATTTAAATGTGTAGGGTCTGTAAAAGAGTACTGGAGCACAATATTTTATAGTTATTCATTTTCAGTAACCTCTATCAAAATTTTTAAAGGTCTTTTATGATACACAATTGACTTTTGTGAGCTTTCAGTCATGTTATAATGTTGTTACATCATCAAAAACATACCTGGAGTTGTGTTTTGTTTCATTCACACGTTTGAGTAATCGTTTATTATTAGTCTGGCTACATCTCCAAGGATCAAAATACTCCACCTTGTGATGTCATTTCAAGTTTGCAGCTACCTTTTACTAGCCTCATTCATCAGCTGGTTTCACTTCATGAAAACCGTCTGACCTCACAGCATTAGAATCTGTTGGCTCAACTGTTGGCGGGTAGTTTTTTTTATTTAACAATAGCTGCTGGTTGGTCGTGGTGTATGTAATGCACCACTAACGGGGCGAACTGATATATTAAGCTTTTTCCAAATCCCTTTGGAAGAAGGGCAATAACGTCTTTCCCGTTGATAAAATTCACCAAACATTCTCTTAGTTCCGGCTTTAAATGCTAAATCTCGGGAATCGTTGCCAATACAGAATATATGGCTCTTCGCTGATTGGCTGATGAATGGATTCGCACTTGCAGAGTTCTTGCAAACCATGTAGTGTATTCTGATTCCTGACCTAGTCGCTGGAGAGAAATGAAATTGAGCGGAGGCTAACCTTTTACCTTTAGTTCAGTAAAGATTGGCAATGTGATCTCAAATCGAAAGATTCTAGTGAAGGTGTCTGGAGTTCAAAAGTTTTCTCAGCCTAAATATTCAAGGTTTGTGTACTAAACGTGTAAATGAAACAAAACACAACTGTCTTTCTGATGAGGTAAAAACATTATAACATAGATCAGTAAATAATGTAATGGTCTTTTAAAGAACCAAATTATAGAATATCAGGCCTAATAACTGAACATATTTATCTTATCATTTGAATTAGCTGTATGATCTCAGCAAAGGTTTCACCGCCAACCTTTCTGATCTTGACACACTAAAACTAGATATTATTATGACAAATTGGCAACACATGCTGATGGAAACTATCTATTTTTTTATAATCTGGTGCAAAAGATCTCTCTTTTTATTATCTTAAAATCTGTGTACATTGTCCCTTCAAACAATGACTAAACCAACACGAATTTTCTAAAATGCTACGCTACCATTTGCACGTTTGATTTCACTCCCATGGACGTGAACTCTCCCTGTGCTCTTTTACAGACCAAACTGAGTGGGGGGCCCTTGTCCACCATGATAATGCAGAGTAGAAACAAACCTTTGCACGTGTTCGGCTTCCTGGGCAGTGCCATCTGCCTCATGGTCATAGTCACGATCCTCATCTCCACCGTAATGTTCATGCGCAACAAGTCCAACCGAATCCTCCCCAACCGACGAATCCGGAGACGGAAACCCCAGCAGCAGCAGGCGTGGATCAGCAGCCCCTTCAGGAGACAAGACACGGACAAGTTCAAAGTGGACGAGGAGGAGCCCGAAGCTGAGGCCGTGACGGAGAACGTGAACTACAACAACAACGTCAGCAACGGCGTGAGGATATGGCCCCCTCCTCCTCCTCCCTGTGCTCCTTCGCTCCCTCCGCCGCCTCCGCCCAGCTTCCCCAGGGACAGGCAGTGGACTGTGCCAACTGTGTCTGCCCACGTGGTGCCCAAACCACGCAAGAAGCCGGCCATGACGCGGCAGGACACGGTGAACAAGGCGCTGGTGTCAGAGCTCAAACTCAGACTGGAGCAAAAACGGTTAAATTATCAATAATGTGTGATTATAAAGATCTAAAACTGCCATAATGAATACAGTCTGTTCATGTACAAAAATATACATATCCTCACATGTTTAAAATAACTTGAATGAAAGTATGTAATGTTTTTTTCCTACCTTAAATGTAAGTGTCCCTGCCTCAAGTGGAGGAGTTCAAGTATCTCGGGGTCTTGTTCACGAGTGAGGGGAGGATAGAGCGTGGGATTGACAGGTTGGTGATTGGTGCAGCGTTGACAGTGATGCAGTCGCTGTATCTGAACATTGTGGTGAAGAGAGAGCTGAGTCGAAAGGATAGGCAGAATTACTATTGCAACAACACATCATCAGTAGGGTAAAACTAACCTGTCTCACAAAATCTTTGTTCCTCCCCTCACCTATGGTCATGAGCTCTGGGTAATGATCGAAAGGACAAGATTGTGGATACAAGCGGTCGAAATGAGTTTTCTCCACTGGGTAGCTTGGCGCTCCCTTAGAGATAGGGTGGGAGGAGCTCAGAGTAGAGCCGGGGCTCCTCCACGTCAAGAGGAGCCAGCTGAGGTGAGGCGCCTCTCTCGGGACGTGTTCCATGCATGTCCCACTGGAAGGAGGCTCCAGGGAACACCCAGGACACGCTGGAGGGACTATGTCTCTCAGCTGGCGTGGGAACACCTCGGGGTCCCTCTGGAGGAGCTTGATTAATTGTCTGGGGTGAAGGAAGTCTGGGAGTCCCTGCTTAGACTGCTGCCCCCGTGACCCAGCCCCGGATAAGTGGAAGAAAATGGATGGATAGACCTTAAATGTATTTACGCGGGGAATGTAAATTAAAGCAGATGTACTATTCAAAATCAACTTTTCTGAGCTTTTAATCTTTTAACCTTTTCCGCTTATTCTCAAGACGCTGTATTGCCTCTCAACCCCTGTTTTCACTGCCACTAGTACATGGCCACTGCTCTCTACTACTTTCTTAATTAGTAACACACATACAATTCTGTAGTGCACATAGTCATTTTGGTACAAATGCAAAACAATCTGTTACGTGCTAGAGTGATGTGCAGCTGTCCATCGGAGGTGTTGGTAGCTGCATGACTCTTTGTTGCGATGACGTTAACGGTGATGTTAGAAACTCTGACAATGGTGGATCATTGGGCACTGCAGTTTTTTAATGCAGAAGTCAGCTCATTTGTTCCTTTTATTCAGTTGATTTGGATGAATATTGTGATTTAAAAGGTGCAAATTATAACTTAGTGTTCCATGGGTGTTCCAATTTATGTTGATATTAATCTCCAATAATATAATATATTTGGACAACATTTATTATGGCAGTTTTGATCTTCTTTCATGTAAATGCCTTGTAAATTGCTTTAAATTCAGTGTTTTGATTCCCACATGCTCCGTTCATCAGATATTGGAGACTTAATCCTCGTGTTTACTGACAGAGAGGAGACTTGGACAGATCCGTGCTGGAACTCATTCAGATCCGAACGAGCGAGACTGTTTTATTTGGGATCAGCCCAAGCTTCTTAGCCGAGGTTTTCTTGACACTTGGACTGACTAAAGAGATCAACTCAACAGAGAGGAAGTCAAATGAGCACGGTAGGAAGAGGAGGAGGAAGAGGAGGGGGAAGAGGGAGAGGAGGAGCCATAATCCCTCTGCGCAGGTGTAAAAAAAACAATTGAGTAACACTGCAAGAAAGGAATCCTGCTGAAATTACTAGAATTTCAATGTAGTTAGTCTGCAGATTTGACTTGTTTTATGGTATTTCCAATTGGGTTAAAACTTTTATTCATATTTCTAGCTAAAAATCTTCTCAGTTGAGTAATTAAAACTCATAAATCATAAGTCAAGTCCACTCAGTTATTCAAAGTAGTAAAAAAATTCCAAATTAATATGTAAAATTTAAGTGATTTTAACAGTTGTGCTTTTCTTTTTTGCAGTGTTTACAGAGATTGTGGGTTGTTTACATTGGTGCTGGTGATTCTGTTCCATAGTTGACATCTCTGTTCTCAATCAGATGTATTATTTTCTAACCAATAAAACCATTTTTAATTTTCTGTCATTTTGTTGTTGCAGTAATTTGGAAAAAGAAACATGTGACTCGCTTTAGTGCACATGTTTTGAATATTGGATTACTGTATACTTTTCTGAGTCAGACTGGGACGGGGGTCAAAGGGCAAAGATTAGCACCTCCTGAAGACACTGCTCTCTACTGACACCTGCTGGAGAAGGAGTTACTCGACATAAATGTTTGCAATTCTAAGGTTTTATAGCTTCAAATTTTGGTAAATGGTCACTGTTTTATACAGTGCTTTAAATCCAGGAACCAAACACCCATTCACGCACACATTCACACCGCCAGCCTTCAGATCAACTGTACACAAAACATCTTTGAAGGGATTGGTTCTTTCACTTTTCTTTTAAATGACTGGATTAGGAGCCTGTCACCCTCTACTGGAGACAGTGGAGGATATAAAGTAGCATAAAATGATAGCATAAGGATAACATAAGTAGCATACAATGAAAATGGAAAGTCACTAGTATCAGCATGCCAAAAGAAAGTAGTTAGTATTAAAAGATAAGTTGTGCTTTGTGCTTATTTTAAGGCTGGACAATGCAAAGGGTTGAATACTTAAGACTAAGACCTGGTTTTAAGACCAGTCCAAATGTAGGCTTGGTTTGGTCCTATTTTAGTCCTGGTCTAGTCCAAATGTTGATCCAAATTTAGCTCCAGTTTAGTCCAGATATTGATTTTACAAGTGTGAATGCACCCGTAAATTGTCTCGCAAAATAATGACATAAACAGAAGATATAAAGACTTATTATTTTTTATTTTATGCCAATAGCATAAAGTACATGTGATAAGCTGGTGAAGCTATATTTGGAAAAATAAATCCATCTCAATCCATTGAAATCAAATGCTGCCATAGCAAATGGAGCCAAAGACACATGACAGCGGACACAGAGGTCAACCAAAAAGTCTTATTTCAGAAAACTAAGTTGTCACCACAAATATAAAATCAATCAATAAATGTCATATAATTTTGATCAATGTTCAAATTCTTTAAAAAAACAAAAACATGACTAGTCATTAAATACCTGACTGTCTTGCCCCAGTACAGAAATATTGTATAAGCAGCTATTGAGGTCAAAATATGTCCATGAAGCATTTTGAAGCATTTTATTGTCCAATAATCAAGTGGTTGTTAGATTTATCGTGACAGCAAAACTACTCTGGCCTCTGAGAGTTGTGAAAAGCACATATGCTCAAAATGCATAAGATAAATAAAGAATAACTTTGGCCCACTGCAAATCTTTAAAATGAACTAGTTCTGTTTTTCACGTTTTTAGGACAGTAAAACTTGATCTTGTTTTTTTAATCTCGTGTCAGTCTTAGGTCAACCAATTCTAAATGTGTACAGCTCCATCCACTGGGTATTTGTGTAAACATCTCCAGAACATGCCCACCATTCCAAAGTTACATAAAACATGACCTTTTTCAGATTACCATGTCTTTAATCTAGGGACTAATTTGTTCTTCTTTTTGCAATATTGGACCTTTGGCGCCCCACCAAAATCCCAGTGCCCAGTTCTCTGTGAGTTTGGCTGGAGTGTGTGCGTGTGTGTGTCATATTTGAGCCAGTTTTGATGACGCAGATATGACTAGGATTATCCTTACGTGACCATCTGAAAAACCAGTGGATGTAAAAATTTCAAACAGATGGAACTGATGTTATTGTGAAGCATTTCTGTACAAATGATCTTTCATAATATATTCCATGTTGTTGATCAGTGTATACAGAAAGACAATCAAAGTGGTAATCTTATATACATCTATACCTTTTAGTGCCTTGTTGCTAAAAGCCATGCTGTTATTTGGTGCTACTGTGCCAATTGTACAGAAACTACACCTCCTGTGTAGCCTAATTCATCAGACGGTTTCACTTCATGAAAACAGTCTGACCTTGCAGCATTAGGATTCATTTGCTCAGCGATAGGCGGGTACTTTTTTATTTAACCAGTCGCTGCTATTTGGTTGTGACGTATGTAATGCGCTGCTAAGGAAGAAGAAGGGCAATAACATCTTTCCCCTTGATAAAATTCACCAAACATTCTCTTTGAGGCTTTAAATCCTCGATCTCAGAAATCATTGCCAACACAGAAGTCTCCATCTACATCCATCTCAACGACTTTGTTTACTGTTGTGCTGTTCCACAAAAGGGACCCAGACAGACGCTTGAGTTTGACATTATGGCTTCACAGGTCTTCACTGATTGGCATGTGCACAGTCTACAATTTACGAGGTTCTTGCAAACTGTCTAGTGTATTCCGATTCCTGACCGAGTTGTGTTTTGTTTTATTCACATACAGTATGTTGAGCAATTCTTTATTGTTATTTTTGTCTACATCTTCAAAGGTCAAAATGCTCTGTTCCACCTTGTGATGTCATGTAGTGGAAGTTTTCAAGTTTACAGTTACTACCTTTCGTTCAGTAGAGATTGGAAATTCCAGGATTGGAATTATATTATCCAAATGATTCTAGTGAAGGTGTATGGAGTTTAAAAACACAATGGAGCACTACCTGTATTACCACAAGGTGGAACAGAGTGTTTTCTGTCCTGAGAGAAGAACAGGGTTTATGTGTTAAACAAGTGTGAATGAAACAAAACACGTCTCCATGTATGTTTGTGATGAGGAAACAACATAACATAAATAAAAACTTTTTTTTTAAAGTGTAATATGACTCCTTTAAAAGACTTTCTGAGTGTACTACAGAAACATGAACAGTCATATAGTCAGGTGTATCATGTTTTTGCAGCTACAGACTTAACCATTGTTTTACACAGAGGGATTAGCACCAAGATCAGCCCCAATCCCCCAACAGCCACTGAGCAGATGTGGTTTAGAAAATGACCAACATCACCGGGTCAACATGAGTAATATCAAACAGTACAGAGCAAATATGAGGAGGATCTGGGGGAGAGGACGAGGAGGAGGCTGTTGTGGCACGATGTCAAATAAACAAAGTGGGAATGTGTTTCTGGTGTATGCACTAAGTCCATCTGTTTGGAGCAGTCAGCTGAGATCCAGAGTGATGCGTGGTGAGAACAGTGGTAGAAGAAGTACTCCATTTTGTGACTTAAATAAAAGTACAAATGCTAGAGCAAAAAAATATATATATAACATTATGTAAAAGTATCACATGAAAAAAGTTTTTAAAGTCAATGTATTTCAAGGTACACTGTGTAACTTTTCTGGTGGAGGTCTGTCAAATGTTCCACGGTATGGCATTACACCTTTCTATCTTCATGGAGACTAAACCAGCCCAAGTTACAGGTCAGATCTGTGGAGAGGCGACCCCGCTCACAGTCAGAATGCCTGTTTTTTAGGTATTTCTGAGCAGTAAAAAAAACACCTGTAATATGTACATGTAAGGTAGAGCTGTTTAATGTCATATTGTGGCACGTTCCAGGCAGAGCAATGACAGACCCACTACCAAAAAGTTACACAGTGCACCTTTAAGTACAGTACTTTGCTACTTTTACTTTATGTTCCTTCACTGGGTCAGAATACGTGGTGCTTAGAGAGACACATGTGTAAGACATGACGCACAGAGGCTTAAGCATATGCTCTTGTTAATGTACATCATTGAACCAGCAGCTTTGTGTAATCTGTGTAGAGTCTATCACAGAGCGGGAACAAAGACGCACTGACCAGTAAATCTCAAGGAGTGATAGGACTTTCAGCTCCTATATGGGATCCAAATCTTTAAAGAGCCTTTCAAAAAACTCTTAAAGGACATATGATGCTTTTTTCTATCTGTTATAATGTTGTATCTTTATCAAAAACAGACCTGGAGTTGTGTTTTGTTTCATTCACATGTTTAACACACAAACCCTGCACATTTAGGCTTCATTTCAGCCCTGGAATTGCTGATCTCTACTGAATTTAAGGTAAAAGGCAGATGTTAACTTGAAAACTACATGGGTATTGCAAAATGTTTTTATTTATTTTGCTTTATTTCGTGTTATAATGTTGTTCCTTCATCAAAAACCTGTCTGAAGAAGTTTTAGATATCATCCATCCGTGCTTCAGTAATTTAGACATCTGTCCTGGGCCCTGTTTGAACCCTTCTCACGGTTAGCGATAAGATTCTGTCCAAGAGTCAGTTTAGCTCCTGCCCAGATTCTATCATAAATATACAAAAGCATGATACAAAACAAGACACTACAACTTCACAAACCTGATGCAATGTGCAGCAGCTTTATTAGTGAAATGCACACCAAATGTGCATGAGTGAAGAGCAACATTTTCAAAAGAATAACAGGTAACATGGTGATCTAAATATGTTATGTTTTAGCAGTTAATACCCAATAGAAGTGTAATACTCCCTCTTTAACAGTGTTTAAATAAAATACAATGGCACAACAAAACACTGTTAACACATTTTTTAAACAGTGTGATTTTTTATTGCCGGTTGCCACAAAAACACATATTTTTATGAAGGCTTTCATTGTTATTTATTCAGGTGATTAGCATCAAGCAGTAACATTAAAGTTGCATTGTGTAACTTTTCTGGAGGAGAGTCTGTCACTTGCTTTTCTTCATGGAGATGGTATTGCTTTCCCTGGAATGTTCCATGGTATGACACTAAACATCTAACATTCTTTCATTATGGGGGTTTCCATTGCTCAAAAATACAATAATTCCCTCCATGAATAGGCTTGCGTCTCCACAGATCTGACTATAGTTGTCTCCCTTGTGATAGACAGGTTTAATCTCCATAACATTCTTGACAAAGCAATAACATCTCCATGAAGACAAGCAGGTGACAGACCCTCCACCAGAAAAGTTACACCATGCACATTTAAAGTTGATTCAACACGTGTTCCCCTTAAACCTCTTTTCTTCATAGAGAACATGGGGTTTGTTATGTGAATAAAAACAGTTGCTGAGAAGAACTGTGCACGTAAAAGTGATACAGACAGTCAGTGTTACACAGAGTTCAGAGATGAGCTGACGCTGTGCCCTATAGCACTGCACTTTATGTCCACTGTCAGACCTCCTGGGCCTAGAACAGAGGAACACAGCATTAAGACAGAAAGCACGTCACCACCTCTACACACATGACCACACACAGGACTGGTCTATGGGGTATGACTAGAACAGTTTGCTCCAAAATGCACAGGTTCTGTTGTATTTTGGTCAGCTGGCTGATTTGGCCCACTGTTCACATCACAGCACTGTTAACAACTAGCTTGTTAACAGCACAACTGCTGTACTTGCAGGTTAGTGGTGAATAAAGACACCTTGTATGCAAAGAGCTCAGAGTAAAACAAATTTTACTCGAGCCTACTTTATGGCATGTTTTTTATGTTAGACAAGGGACACAGAAGCTTCATATAAGGAGTATATACAGTACATGAAAACAAACATCTGATACAGTGTCTTATGGTCACGCTTTGCAGATCAACACAAGAGAACACAACAACGCTCGTATATGAAATGAGTTCAGTAGAGCTGAGCACTGAGCCTGCCTTTTTGTGACCTGTCCTCTGACCTCCTCCTCACCTTGCGGTCATCACTGGAGTCTTTATTGACCAGACCTTCATCACTGGCCGCCTGGAGACTGTCAAACGTCCCCTGCCTCTGCCTCTCCATGCCTGGGGTCCTGCTCGCTCTCCTGTTCTTCCACGAGCTCAGGATCCTCTCCACACACACCAGTTTCGTGTCTGTAGTGCATGCATACATCCCTATGGGCACCGCCAGCACCATGGCTAACACTATCACCACTATGTAAATCAGCTTCTCCCGCTGCTCCATCTCTGTGATGTCACTTCCTGTCACAAACACAATGCACTGGCCTGGTCGAGGGTTTTGATTTTTCAGAGTGACACAGATTTCGTATTTGGTAGCCGGCAGCAAGTCATTAACAGTGTAAGAGTTGATTCCTGGGCCGATAAAAATGGCTTCTTTCTTTTCATTGATGCGTCCAAAGTGAATCGTGAACCAAGTCTGATCGGGGTGTTCTAAAGCAGCGTGCCACTCGATGGAAATGCCCCGTACAGTTTGTTTAGCGATACGGATGTCGATGTAGATGTTTTCCTCGGCAGAAGGGGGCGGGGCTTCATCTCCACGTGGGGATTGGGCGGTGGAGCCCTGGGTGGTCTGGACATCCAGCTGGATGGTGGCAG